GCTCTCACTGGATAACATAAACTTGGAAAAGGTTTTTTTTTTTTTCCCCCCCAACTGAAAACTTCCCGCAGACATTCTCAAGACTTAAATGAATCTCTTTAAAAAGTATTCTGTGACAACTGACTTATTGCACACTGGGCCAGGAATCCACTTTTCAGGCAACAGTATTAAGAAAAAAATTTCTAAACTACCACAAAAATTCCTAAACTACCACTACCATAAAAATCTCCCCAAAGCATGTTTTTAGCATGTGAGAAACAGCAGACAAGAAAAGCCAAGCAAATAGACAAAATAATCAAACTGTCAAATAACAACAAAAATAATGCTTAGAATAATGAGTTGGAATCTTAATTTGTTAAATGCTTATCCAGTGTTAAGTCATAGGCACAGATGCAAATATGAAGTTTATTCTAAGACTTTGCTTAATACAGTGCTTACAAAGAAATCAGTGATACAGGTTCCAAGTAGCACCAACTCAAAAGGAGATGGAAACTTCTTGCAATATCAATTTTTCAATACATACATGCACACACACTTTTTTGCTTTTTATATTCTTTACTCATCCAGCTCTTGCTATAGGACAAAATATCAATCCTTTTGAGTTTTCACTTTATCTTGCTCTGGCTCACAGAGGAAGGAACATGACCAAGAGTTTATTAGGAAGAAAAAAGATAAAATTGATTAAATTTCTTTGTAGATTTTTCTGATCGCCTCCCAATCTTCAAAAAGGTCTATACGTAACACTGAACACTGTTTGCTCATCACACAGAAATCTCTTTTCAGTGAGAAGGAAATTAAAGAACCCCCTCCTGGAAAACCAGAGGTGCAAGGTCAGCAAAAAGGAAGGCCAGGAAAGGGCAAAAGGAATAAGGTATACAACTCTTACTACCAGTGCTGCACAGTGGTACCTGTCAGGCAGCACTGGGTTTCATCACCACAGCCAGGGCAAGACAATAATCCAAACCTGTTGTTCTAACCATGTCATAAAACTCAAGTCTGCTTCCCTGGTCAGGAGAATTGGGGTAGGGGCAGGCAGGGTACTTTTCCTGACCAGCAAGGGAAAAGCTGGATAGCACAAAAATCCTGGTCATTCTGCCTTCTACACCTGCCAGCGCAGATAGGTGCTCACTTCCTAACAGGCTCTTCAGTTAGCGTGTCTTAAAATTCTCTACAAGTTTCAGGTTCTTTCTTCATTCTTCACTGGCTTGCTTTCTTCCCATAGTTGAAAGTTCTAGAAATCAGACAGCATGCACAATATAGAACTTCCATATCTGAAAGCTGATACCATGAAGGTTCACAGCAATGGCCACGTAGGCTCTGTAATATTTTTAAAGCATAACTGCATTCTTCTTCAGGAGTATTTAAAAATAACACTTTTTAAAAAATTAAATTCAATTGTATAGTACTAGATTTAAGCAGAAGTCAGCAATGCCTGCTCATATTTTTGTGTCAAAATCATGCTAGGCATAAAATAACTTAATAAACTTGAAGGAAGGGAGTTTATTTTTCTTTTGTGGTAACATGAAACTGATCTCTTACCAATTCTCCAGTGATAAACATAATCAATGCTTATTTGATTCTTAAGGAAGCATTGTAAAATGCTTAACCTTAAAAAACAAATCAATTTATTCCATATAAAGAATGCAAAAAAGGTATGAAACCAGAACTGAATTTGAATTTTAATGCCTGTGTAAGGCCAAAACAATACCTCAAAGAGCTGAGAATTGTGCACTCTATTTAAAACCAAACAAAACTTCGTATAGCAACTGCTTTTCATCACATAATGTGATAATAGTAACAGTAGAAACTAAATGAATAAGCTCTTGTCTGGAGGAAGAGGAGGAAAATAATTTAAAAAGTGGAAAAAACATACAAAGAAAACAAAGACAATATGCAGGTGTTAACAAAAAAAGTGGGGGAGGACACTATTTCAGCTGCTTGCCTAACATGTTCTGTCAATACAACTCACAAGTCAATGGTAAAAGCAGTATGTAGGAAGAGGAAACTCGACCTTGCTATTCACCTGCATTTTAATTTAACAAAAAGGGTAAGCTCATGCTTCTTTAGCTCCATTTCAAAATAAAATAAAGTTTCATCCCAGACGAGTTTTCTTACACAACCAAACCACGCAATAAGACATAAAACAGGTCTGAGGTAACCAGGATGTTTTAGCAAGGAAAAAGAAAGTATACAAACACTGCTTCTAAACTGCCGCCTCAGCTTGGGCTCAAACTGGCACACCAAGATCACCTCCCATTCCAAATATCCATCAATCTGCTGTCTTACGTTCTGGCTTGAGTTGCAAACGAGCCACTTGGCTCACAGGACAGGTAAGTCTGGGCTGAATCATATCGTTGCTGAACTTCATCCCTACAGGCATAGATATGAATGGCACCCCACTGATTTAAACTAGCTCACTTTCTCAGATCTTTGGGGTTTGGGTTTTTTTTGTTTGTTTGTTTTTAAATGCAAAGACACTTATAAAGCCTACCCTATGGTATTTTAACTACTGCTTATATCAGTCCTGCTGATTCTGCTGAACTCCTAAAACTATAAGCCTAACTTGTAGGGCAAATAAGTGTTCCTCCACATGCTCCTAACTTTTCTTCCTACATGACTGCCCACTAAAAAGAAAATCCTGTATGACAAAAAAAAAAAGTCTTCTCTAGAAAGATATCAGTCCATAAAAGAGCACAATCCACAATAGTCAAGGCAGGTATGCATATCAGACAGTTCTTAGAGTAGCTGAATTCAGCCTTGCCAAATAAAAGTTGAAGCCAAGTAGTGCAAAACACAGGTAAACCAAATAGCTAAAGCCAATAAAGTTTTACAACATATGTTAAACCATACAATTACCAGAGACTGTACACACAGCTTCAAAAATACTAAAGTGTCTCTCCTTATGAGGTTTTTTTCCTTTCTGCACATCTGAACCATACTAATAATCATAGTCCATGGGACTGTCTTTCCAGTAACTGTTCTCAGCCCTACTACTGTTTTTCTCCCTCCAAAACTAGTCATTTTCCTTTGAAGCTCTTGACTGCTGCCACACCTGCAACACCAGAGGCAAATATTACTCTCATCTACTGAAAGAGATTATGCCAGACTGAATAAACATAGTGATGGAATTGAGAGCCCCATAAGCACCAGCCTAAGAAGCAGAGAAGACACCAGCAGACTGCATTTCCCAATACAGCTATTGCAACCACAAGCTGTGTCATGGAACTAAAGATGAAGAGTCCCCCTACAGACAGTGAGGGAAGAAGCCTTCCAGCACTCAGATCTACTCCCCTAAGGTAAGGGGCCTATTCAAATTTCTCCCCCACAAACCCATGAATCATTTCAAAGTACCTTTTCTACACTTTCTTACACACTAGTCACTTATCTGCTGCCAGCAGACTCTCCTCAGAGAGCACCCTCTCCCACGTATACCCTGGGCTTGCCCACAGAGATACCAGGAAACAATTTTTGGTTTTCTGCCCTAACAGAGACCCCATCCCATCTTCCTCAGTCAGGCACCTACCACAGCTTTTATAGCCTTCCGGCAGCCCCTGCCTAACAAGGGGCTAATGACCAAGAGACCACACCTGAGGAGAGGCTCAGTAGCTGCTCTCCCGGCCAGGCTTTAAGAGACAAACCTCTAATTAAGCACAGCTGGGCTTTTTATTTGCCTACTGAAAGTGGTGTCTAGCTAGGGCCTTGGGGCCCCTGCACTGCTCACGTACACTTTGCTCCTCTGAGTCACTTTAGGCTTAGCATAGCAACTAGTGCTTTTTTTTAAGATCCCAGAAGTGGAGCAAAACAGAGCAGATGGGGACCAATGCTATTTATAACTACTGAAGCCTTAGCAATACATCCCTGAAGAAAAATAGATTGGTGCTTAAGGTTAGACAGGCAGTTGGTGCACAGGTGACCCTTGCCCCATAAACCTCAGTGACATACTTCACGAGCAAGGACAAATTGCCCCAGGCGCAAGGCCCCGGGGACTCACGCTCACAGGCCTTGGAATTTCAGGCTTCGAAATGATGGGGAAAAGCTGAGGATGCTGTTTTCCTGTGCAGCGCTCCTCTCTCTGCCGGAAGGCCGGTTCAAACGTCACGACGGGAGCTGCCTCCTCCCTCTTCGGAGCA